CTGGTGTGCAGGGTGCAGCTGGGCGTGGCATTGTTACGCACGTGAGATCGCGGTTTCAGATTGGCTAGTCCTTCGGTCCTTGTTTGGTGAGAAGGTCAGGGGTCTGACACCGCGCCCGTCACAGTGGTGTCTTTGGAAGAGGAGTTTTTCAAGTTGTCATTAGATTAGGATTGTAATATATTATATTAAGTGTCCCTATCACAGCCCCCACGTACATCAGGGGTCCTCATCAGAGTCCCTCTTTATATTAAATGTCCCCATTGGAGTGCCCCCTTGCATCAATTGTATGCATCAGAGTATCTCCTTACATCAGTTCTTCAGAGTGCCCCCTTACATCAAATGTCCCCATCGGCGTGCCTCATGGAACACAGGATGCACCCTTAGAGACTCAGGGGGTCTAATTGCACTGCAAAGAATCGCATGTGATTGGAACATGAATGCGGTGCGATTTCTGTTTGAATCACATGCGGTTTCCCTGCGGGTGCAGTGCGATTTGAGCCATTCATTTTGTATGGGTTCAAGTTGCAAGAAAGGTACCGGTGAGTACTCAAGCACAAGTATTGGGACTTGTACTCGCTGATATAAAAATGGTATTGGTGCAACCCCCTACATATCTACTTTTCTTAGAGCCACTGGAATGCATAGTGGTTAAAGTAGAACTAAACCCTCATTTCAGTTTTTATTATATTAGGTTGGCCAACATGAAATTTTGCTCACAAGCACGCTAAAAAGTTTTTACTGGCGTGTAAGCATGGCTCTGTAGTTTCCAGGCAGCTGATTCTAATTTGTGCACCCACATCCTACCCACGGGTGCAGAGAACACATCACCATCTCGGGCAGGACTACACCTCCAATGCTGCTTTGTGTTGATTCTATACAACACAAGCTTGCATTCATGTTGTTTTTTTGCTGGTACCGCCCTCCTGTTAATTTCAACAACTGTACAGGCACTGTCAGTCATTCCCCAGGTACCTGGATGCCTGAAGGTCCCTCCATGGAAAGTAGGCTCAACATACTATTGGTGCACTTTGAGTTTGCATTGAAAACGTGCCTCCTAAGATGGCAAAGTTGCCACGGCATAGACTTACAGCGCTGCCACCCTGTTACCAGAATTGCCTAGGGCAAGGGTTTTAAGTACTTGTTTTGAAAATCTAGAATCCTGCAAAGGAAAAATAGTGGTATAACCATGTACTAGATGAGAAAAGGTAAGACCTACAGTAATTTATAATCTGAGAAACATTAGGATATACTTTTATGCTGCTCAATTCATATATGAATTCACTCTTTAAACATTTGCCCACATATGTACAGTATCTGCTTTGTGATATACAAAACCAATTTTCTTAGATACGCTGATGAAAAATGTTTGGTGTTTATGGCAGTAAACTTTAATTGGCTGTGTGAAAATGTTGGCTCACTGTTGCAAGCAGGCAGGTGACACAATATGGTGCTGTTATAGACCGTATCGGAGTCACGTGCCTAGCCGTATGGTGTGGCAAAGATGTGTGTTTCATAGGACTGGCTGGACAGAGCTGCAGATCCTTTGGCAGGAAAATGAGTTGAAATATATTGCATGCACATCAATTGCATGTGTTGTTTTTCTGGAGTTCCACTTCAAAGGTGAAGAGTAGATATATAATATATATATTTCAGTTTATATTGAGCTTTAGCTAGTAGTAGCTAGAACATTAAAATGGACATGTTCTGTAATGGTAAATACATTTCGTAGCTTATCCAAACCACTTTTCTCTTACGTTCATTGATGGACACAGCTTCTTCTTTATCCATAGCCAAACAAGGTTTTATAGCCCCACCTACAGGAGTAGGACACTAGGCTGGAAAAAACTCAGCTACTATGGGCAGTCCTCTCTGGGTATAAAACCCCCTCTTTCTTATAGGCCTCCAGTCATTTCTGCCTAGTGTCTTCAGGAGGTTTTTTTTTTTTTTTTTTTGTCTCGTTCCTTTGAGGAGTGTCTGTCTATTTTGGTGGCCAAGTCAAAGCGATTCAGTGGTTTTTGCTCCAGTCTGTTCCCAGTTCCAAAGATGGACAGGATTCACCCGATCCTGAACCTCAAGGACCTGCTTGCCTTCATGCAAGTTCACAAGTCCCATATTGGGGTCCGTTCACTCACTGGTGGCCTCCCTTTACCAGGGGGATTTTCTAGGTCCTATAGACATCAAGGACACCTCCCTGCACATTCCCATCTGTGAGCGATATCAGCATTTCCTACACATGACTATCGCGCATTACCAATTTGTAGCTCTGCCCTTCGGGCTGGTCTCCACTCCCTGTGTGTTTATCAAGGTCTTGGTTCCAGCCCCAACCTTTTATGGGATAACAAGGGATTACTGTGATCGGTTTCCTGGACGTCTTGCTCTTTCAAAAAGTCTATGTTGGCACTGGCTAAGCAGTTTCTGGGGCTGGTCCTCGGTTCAGAGCAGGGTGGGGTGCTCTTCCCATCGGACAAACTACAGAACCTTTGGTCAAAGATCCGGCAGCTCTTTTCTTGCAATCAGCCCTCCCTATGTTTTTGCATGCAGGTTTTGGGCTTGATGGTGACTACCTTTGAAGCAGTCCCATATGCCCAGTTCCATATGTGAACACTGCGGAAGAAAATCCTATACAATTGGAACGGGTCTCTTCTTCTTCCTCGGACAGTCAGATTTGAATGGAGCATGTGACGAGGGCCTACCTTCTCTGCTGCAGTCTCCGACTCTACGGAATGTAAAGTCTTCCCTTCCTCTTAGACGGACTGTGGTCACGACAGATGCCAGGCCATCGGGCTGGGGCAGAGTGTTGGGATCGGACTCAGCTCAGGGTCACTGGACTCCGGAGGAGGCTCGACTGACCATCCTGGAGCTTCGGGCATCACTGACACTTTGGATGATCGTCTATGGGGTCTGTCGATCAGGATCCAGTCAGAGGACACCACCATGGTGGCGTATGACAATCTTTTGGGAGGCAAGAGAGGCGCAGCAGCAGCGCTAGAGGCATCTCACACCCTCAGATCAATGGAAAGGTTTGTTCCGGCCTGTTGTACGTGTTACAGGGGTCACAAACTGGCAAGTAGATTATCTTGGCTGTCAGACGCTGGATCACGGCGAGTAATCTGCATCTGGAGGTGTTACATCAGCTCTACCTTTGCTGGGGGACGCCAGATGTGGATCTTCTGTTGTCCTGTTTCAACCAGTAAATTCCATAGCCCGTGGCAAGAACTTTGGAGCGTTTGGCACCTGCGACCAAGGCACTGGTGAGCCGAGTGATCAGTACAATCTCGTTTGTCTTTCCGCCCCTCTGCTTGATTTCTCATCTACTATGCAATATAGAGGCCAATAGGATCCCAGTCATCCTGGTGGATCTGAACTGGCCTCACCATCTCTGGTACGCTGACATGGTGGTGGACACTCCCAGGCACATGCCCCTTTGTGAGGACCTTCAACTCAGGATGAAGTGTTCCACCCTGCTTTCCCTTTCTCTGGCCTTGACGGCCTGGATATTGACAGCCAGATTTACAAAGCATGGGAGGTCGTTTGACTCGATGAGTCCAACTATGTAAGACTCGTATGTCTGTCTATCTCCCCGACAATTTATCATCGCTCCTAGAGGGCTAATATAGTTTGGTGCAAAGCGTTTAGGTTCTCTCATCACTACTTCTTGGTGGCTTGGGTGCTGGGTTTCCTTCTACGTGGCGTTGACCAGCAGCTTGTGTTGAGTACATCCAGGATCACATTTCTGCTCTGGCTGTGTGTGCTTTCAACGCCCTTTGGCCACGCTGTCTTTAGTTTGCACATTTGTCCAGGGAGTCATAATGTAGTGCCCCGTGCGCTGCACATTGCCACCATGGGATTTGCATTTGGTGTTGTTGGCTCTTTGGTAGCCTGCCTTTGAAAGAATATTCCCTTGCTTCCACTCTCGCAGAAGATTGCCTTACTAGTCCCGATCAGTTTGGCTCAGTGGGTGTTTGGAATGACAGCTTTGTCCTCTACGCTGCCTTATTTGCTTCTGCACTGGCCATCCCCTTCTTCTTTTTTCCGAAGGTGACAATGCCCTTTCCTCAATTGGTCCTTGATGGTCACACCTGGAGGAGGTGGCTATACAGTCATGGCTTGGTTCACTTGATCCTGTACACCTCTCGCCTTCCGGAGGTCTGATTCTCTATGTAGGCACGGCCGGCCCAAGAACTGGCATGGAGGCTTCCTCTGCCACTTTTTTTTTTCTGGTGGTTTTTCTGTTGGTTTCTGTTGGTTTGGTTTGGCTGACGCTTGTGCAGGCACACGCCATTACGAGCAAGATCCTCTCTTCCCTGTAACTGCGCCAGGGCAGTTAGCTCCTCCTAGGCATTCTGACATCCAGCATCTGTCTCAAGTTTACATTGTGGCCATTTGGGCTTCTCTGCTCGTTTCTGACATTGTTATACAGTTGATCTGTTGGGCATCCTCTGATGGTAGTTTTGGCAGTTGTTTAGGACTCTTGGGTGCCCCTTCAAGATGGTCCACATTGTTGGCAGGTTGCCCTGGGATTTTTTCTCTATTTGTTGGTTTTTCTGCCCCTCGTTGTGGCACTGCTTTGGGACATCTCTGTTTGGTTATGGATAAAGAAGAAGCAGCAGTGTCCGTCAATGAACGTAAGAGAAAACTGGATTTTTTTGTTACCGTAAAATCCCTTTTCTGAGTTCATTGACCGACACAGCACCCACCCCTCTATGGAGCTTTCTCCTTTGACTCTACTTAAAACTGACTGGAGGCCTATATCAGAGAGGGGGTTTTATGCCCAGAGAGGACTGCTCATAGGAGATGTTGAGTTTTTTTTTTTTACTGCAAAGTGTCAATCTCCTGTAGGTGGGGCTATAAAACCCTGTTTGGTTATGGATAAAAAAGAAGCAGTGTCCGTCAATGAACTCAGAGAAAGGGATTTTTACGGTGGGTGAGTAACAAAAATCCCGTTATTCAGTTCTCTTGGATCTTCACAGACATATGGTGATGTATTTGTCTTCCTGCAGGCAGGCTTTGCTGCTGAAGGTGCAGAGACTGGAACGCTCTTCAATGAAATTAACTTGCAAGAAAAGGTAGGTGTTTCCTGGCACATTTATCATTATCCAGCCAATGAGGGAGTCTAAAAGCAAATTATAATTCTTAGTCATACAGAACACGTGATCTTTAGTCTTTATCCATGGGTTATATGCTGTCTTCTGGTACTTTCAGGTGGTTGAACAATGGCAAAATAAAACCGCGGAGACATCCCCTATATAACCCCTCACACTCCCTGCTTACCTCTTTCCAATGGAGTTTTTTTTTTGCTTTGAGATGATTCTCCTGTGAAGATTCCTGGCTGCACCATAGTCGAGGCTTCTGCTGTAGCTTTCTGATTGACTATTTGGTTGAGCCTTGGGAGACTGTACCCAAGCCCTGCTTGGATGAAGATGCAGAGTTTGCCTGTAATGTTGCTTCTGGCACTGGATCCTGCATGGGTGCTCACCTTGGCATCTTGGTGAGTGAGCCACATGTTGTTATACTGGTGGCCTAATACCCTCTGTTTGAATAGTTATCTCCGCACTGATTCCCTGCCTTCCTCTGGCAAACTCTGCTGGCCCTTCTACCCACAGCTATTCTCTGACTCATCTAGGAAGATTTTTTTTCCCCCACAGTGTCTGATTTCATGGGCAGAATTTTGGTCCTTTTAGCGGCCGTAGCTACCAGGGGTCACAAGCAAGCCTCTTTAATCTCCACTCCTGGGATGGTCTCTGACTTTGCCTTGGCTGCAGACACATTGCCTGAAGTAGAAAAGTAAGATTTCCCCTCTGCTGAGGAATCGGATCAGGATGAGACACTTTGAAATTTCAACCAAATTTAGGACACCTTTGCTGCCCTGATGCTCTTTGTTTAGCATTAAAGCAGCCTGAGTTTTCTCCCCCCAAGGTCTCCCATATGGGGTCTCTACAACTGCCCAAACATGTCAAGACTATCCTAGTCAACTCACTCATAGAGCCCTTCCCATATATTGACTTCACATAGTTGACTTGTGGCTTCACCCTAAAAAGCTTTTTGCTCCTCTAAACCATTTTGCTCAGCAATATCCTATTGAGGAGAACTTCATGCAAAAATCGATGGCCCCTGTAGAGGACTTTGCCCATTTAATTTCTTAACAAGATGCTAAAGGTCACCGTAGAGGATAATCCTGTGTTGAAGGACCCATTGGACAGAAGGTTATAGGCCCTCTTTATGGACCCTTTTTTTTGTACATTGTTTCAGTCTAATCTAAAATGCCATGATCTTGCTGCATGAAAAAGAATAACCTAAATTACTGTAAAGGAGATTCTGCAAGTGGCAATTAAAATTGCAGCCTCCTGTCTATGGTGGGATAGTATAGCTATTTGTATCATCATCCTTTGCCCGTGCCTAATAACATGATCTGTGTGAATCTGTATAGTATCCAGGTAAAATAAATCTGTTGACTTTATGGTCAAAAGACAAGGAAAAACCTCTAAACAATTAACTGTTTCATAGTTAAAATTTTATTACCTAATTGAAAAGATCAGATAATTATTGAAAATGATTCATGAATGATTTGTGTCGGATTCTAGCTTACTCTTCATATAAGAAGAACTGGGAATTATGTTTAATTTGAAGCAGAACTATGCTAACAATAAATTTCTAAATGCCCCCCAGGAGGAAAATTGTATAATGTGATATGCACCGTGTACTAGCATGTTATGGCAGACTTACCTGTCAGGAAGCCTTCCAGCGCTGTGCTGTCAGTGCTCATATGCTTCCATCTTCTCCTGGTCTTCTTCCAGATTTTTGACTGTTTGAATGGATGGGGCCATGATGCATCACTCCTGCACATGGACAGCGAAATCTCTTCATCACGGCACACAGGTGCTATAAATGTACTCTGAGCTGCACAGGTGCAACGCAGTGTACATTACTGCTGCCAGGCAGGGAGAAGCCTTATGAGAGAAGAGACCATAAGGATAGGTTCACATCTGTGCGGGCGGTGCCACTGCGGATCCCGCACGAAAATCCGTGCAGCCACACCACCTGCACAGAGAAATGCAGACCCGTAGGCTGGTGCCATTACTTCTAATGGCACGCCGCCCGCACTGGAAAACGCAACCATACTGGGAACCGAGGTTCCCGTGCGGGCTGCATTTGCAGAAGTGCAAGGGGCCACAGGGCAGGGAGTCCATTCAAATGAATGGGCTCTTGTGCCCGCACAAACCGTGGCCTGCATACATATATGTGAACCGGGGCTTAGGGTCCCTTCTGTTCTTAAAACCCTACCTGTCGGTGGCTTTTTTTTTAAGTGAGTTTTTTTGATTCCATTTTAATTGAAAGCTGAATTCCAGGCAGATGCAAATTAATGCAATTGCAGTGTGGTAGGTGAAAATATCTGTAAATACCACTTTACTACCTGCCTGGAGTTCAGTTTTAGTATATCTTATGCAGCCAATTTAAGTGGGTCTGTGTGTCCATGTGCGCGTGTGTGTGTGTTGCAGAGGCGGGAAAACAAGCTTTTTTTTTTTTTTTTTTTTTTGGTTTCTGTTTCAATGTACCAAGCCATTCAGAAAATAAGGACACTGGAAACTAAAGGGGTCCAGCTAGCACTGCCTGGATTAAATTGATTTGGGATTTTGTTTATGCACAGCCTTATAAAGTAGAAATCCACCAATAAGAACTAATCTGCCAAATTTTGGTCCATCTGATATCTCATTGTACCCTCTTTTGATTGGGGGGGCTGTGTAAAGTACTAGCTGGTTCTGTAAAAATGCAAGGGACTTATTTATTACAGCTATGTATATACTACAGTCAAGTTACATATATATTGTACATTCACATCAGTCTTTTAGCTTCAAGGATCATACAATCTAAGGTCCTTAACTGACATTCATACATACACATACTAGAGCCAATTTATCAGCCAGCATATCTTTGGACTGTGGAGTGAACCGGAGAGAACTCGGAGGAAACTCAAGCAGGCACATACAAACTGCACACAGATAATGCTATGGTTGGGATTTGAACCCAACGACTCTAGTGCTGCTAGACGGAAGTGTTAACCACTTAGCCACTGTGCTGCCCCAATTCAGTGAAAGGAGGTGACACAACACAGGCAATGGAAATAAACACAGCTACAACAGCCCTGGAAAATGCACACAACCAAGGTGAGACTTTACTGCTCCCTTCTATGGACCAATAGGCGCTATGTTCCAGAGATTTCTATTGAGAAGTTCTCTTTAAAGAGTAGATAATACCTGAAAAAGTCAATACTGATATTATTGCTGTCCACATTAAAACAAGACCTGAATGTTGTTTTATTATCCCTGTAGGACTGGACGGATTATGATGAAAAGGCAAAAGAATCTGTGGGGATCTATGAAGTGACACATCAATTTAAAAAATGTTGAAATCAGAATGTTTGTATGTTAATGTTTACAGCGTGGTCTGCCACAACTGTTTACATGTAAAAATATCTGACATATAATAACAGACCATGTGCCACAAACAGGAACAATGACTTGCCAGTACAGAACTTCTACTTTCCATCTTACAAGACTCCTATACAATCTCAAAGGTCACATGATTCCAAACAGCGGAATGACGTTGCAGGATCTCCCACTTGTGTATGCATGGTTAAATGTTATCGCTAAGTTTAAAATGTTTTTGTTTTTGAAGACTCTGTTACCAGACCGTTTGATTTCAATAAAAATCTTCTTATAAGATTATATGTGTATTTAACACAGTTTATTCCTGTTATTTACTTGTAAAATCCTCCCTTGTGTAGATGTCAAAAAGCCCGGAGATTGCTGCTGGGTGCTGCCATCTTCTATGTGATGTCAGCAACCCCGGAGCTGTCACTCAAGTGACACTGTAGTTGTTCCTCTTTGCTTCTCATATGGCAGCTACATAAAAGGTGGTATAGGAAGGGGTTGAGGAGCTGAATCGGCATAGAGAGAGATCTGGTCAGTTAAGTAGCAGAGGGGGGTTGTTAATCAGTTTTAACTGCTTTGGTGTTTGTTAATAAAATTAACAACAGGTGCACTGCAATGACCAGGAGGCGATGTATGGGCAGTGAGGGAAGGGTGTTGCACTAGACTTATGGGGCATTGGTCAGGGATACTGGGGTGATGGGCAACAATGATATAACCCCCAAAACAGGAATGGTTTTACAGGTGGAGGCAAATTACATTTTTTTTCCTACTCATCTTTTCTGTTTTTCACTAGTTTTGCATTTGGCTAGGGTCAGTGTCACCACTGGTAGCATGAGGCGATACCTGGACCCTACAGAGGTTGCACAGGCAGTCCAACTCCTCCAGGATGGGCACATCAATACATGCCTTTGCCAGAAGGTTTGCCGTGTCTCCCAGCACAGTCTCAAGAGCATGGAGGAGATTCCAGGAGACAGGCAGTTACTCTAGGAGAGCTGGACAGGGCCGTAGAAGGTCCTTAACCCATCAGCAGGACCAGTGCAAGGACTCCTTTGTACAAGGAGGAACAGGATGAGCACTGCCAGAGCCCTACAAAATGACCTCCAGCAGGCCTCTGGTGTGAATGTCTCTGACCAATCAAACAGACTTCATGAGGGTGGCCTGAGGGCCCGACCTCTTCTAGTGGGGCCTGTGCTCACTGCCTTACATTCCACCACTGGCGCCCTGTGCTTTTCACAGATGAGAGCAGGTTCACCCTGAGCACGTGACAGATGTGAAAGTGTCTGGAGAAGCCCACAGTGGAGAACGTTATGCTGCCTGTAACATAGTTCAGCATGACCGTTTTGGTGGTGGGTCAGTGATGGTCTGGGGAGGCATATCCATGGAGGGATGCACAGACCTCTACAGGCTAGACAATGGCACCCTGACTGCCATTAGGTATCGGGATGAAATCCTTGGACCCACTGTCAGACCCTACACTGGTGTAGTGGCTCCTGGGCTCCCCCTGGTGTACGACAATGCCCGGTCCTCATGTGGAGAGAGTATGCAGGCAGTTCCTGGAGGATGAAGGAACTGATACCATTTAATGGCCCCCACACTCGCCTGACCTAAATCCAATAGAACACCTCAGGGATATCATGTTTTGGTCCATTTGACGCCATCAGGTGGCACCTCAGACTGTCCAGGAGCTCAGTGATACCCTGGCCAGGTCTGGAAGGAATTACCCCAGTACACCATCCGTCATCTCATTAGACGCACGCCCCATTGTCAGTCATACATACAAGGGGCCATACAAACTACTGAGTACCGTTTGAAATTACCATATGACATTTAGCAAAATGGACTAGCCTGCTGCATAATTTTTCACTTTGAGTTTCGGGGGGTGTTTTTGAATTCAGTCCTCTGTAGGATGATCATTTTTATTTCCATCAAACAATGGGGCATCCTTACGTTCCTAATACATTACCCAGTCCATTTCAGTATAGATATCCAGCATGAGATTTTTCCTCATTGAGATCTGATGTGTTTTCAAGGTGTTCCTTTAATTTTTGGAGCAGTGTAAAGCCTGTATAATAATCTGCCTCTTTTCACAAGAGACTTGTGTTATATAAAAAAAAGAATATATTTTATGCACTAAATTATTCCATAAAAATAGTAAGACAAAGGAAAAACTATGTTTTGGGTCTAAATCAACCCTCTCTCAATCAGGAGAGATGTCCTTTTCACACTGCTTATAATGGGGTACATTCATTATTGGATGAAATGAGATGATTTATTTTCTGACATATTGCAAGTCCCTTTGTTGATGTTTGCTGATGTGGTTGACACTATTGTACCCCAACTGAGTGGGGAGAATGGCAGCACAAGATGTTCCATATAGTAAGATGTGCAGTTGTCCCCCTCCCCGCACAACCACACCATTCACTCAAAGAGGTCCATGAATGGATAAACTACAAGTCTCATCTGCCATCACAACAGCTAGACATAGAGTTGTCAATGGATACAAGTGTGGTAATCTCAGCGCTCATATTTCATTGACACTTCCTCCAGCTGAAAGTCTATACCTCCATCCAGGCAGGAAGCTGGCAGCAGACTCTGCAGAGGCCTGGCATTGCACCCATGATCCACTGTTTACAGGTGCAATGCTTTGCAGGCTTTTAAAGATGAGCTTAGAAAACTGGTATGAGTAAGTACATATCCTGAGTTATAAACTGGTTATTAGCTTTTCTGGTGGATATAGAACTTTACAAAAGATAATGTATACAATGAGGAGCTGGAGCTCTGCTAATCAGAATTTACATATTATGTCTCGTGTGTGACAGGTGACAGTTTCTGCACTCCTATTTTAATAAGCCAGTTTTTAGGGGGCAGACATGGTGCAGTATTCTTCTAAAGGAACCCAAACATATTATAAGTACATAAGCTGCCATTGCTGAACCTGCCAGGTGGCAGTCATGCTGATCCTCTGTCTTCAATACTTTCTGGAATCACTGTCCCAGCAAAAGTATGTACTTTAGGGGTCATGGCTTCACTTGCTGCACGTTTATTCAGGGTCAGTAACAAAGTATTGGAAAAGAAAAATCAGCATGTTTGTCCACCTGGAAATGCTAATTCAATTGCAGATTATGTATTGCTCTCTCAGCTTTCACCAGAAAAAAAAAAGTTTTTGTTTTATATTCACATCAGGAACGGTGTGGCATGTCAACATTCCAATCATCTCCTGCAACATCCTGCAGTGGATGGCTGCATTAGTTCTCTTTTTCAAGCTATACATTCCCCCTTTTCACCTGATGATCCTACCAGTAGCATATTTTCAATTCCAGGATGACAACACTCGTCTATATTCAAAAACAACAGAAATAAGATATTACAGAAGCCCACCCTGATCCTACTCTCCATAAAATATAGGGTGATGGTTCTGTGGTCCTCAGAGATGGCTGACAACAATGTACTTGATAACGGCACAGCAATTTATCAACTCACAAGATAGCGAGCATGTTTCTTTTTTGTAACATCGAACAGGGATCAAATAAGAAGTAGTTATTTAAGGTTTACATACAATTTAATGGCTCAATTATTATGGTAAACGCAGGGCCAACCGCTCAGCCATGATCTAGAAAGATCTGACTAGGTGCACAGGAATAGCCAGTTTTAATTACAGAGTAGAAACCAGTTCTCAACAAAAAGTGAAGTGCTCAGTAATGTTTGTCTGTAAGATTTTTTGAGTGATTAACGTGATCTCACATAGCCATCATACCGCATTTCTATCATTCATACTGGAGATAAAGCACTCGCATCGATTATGTCATTGCGGAGACAAGGCACTTGTGCTTGTAAACTGAAAAACAAGAAATATAGAATACTGGCCAATCCAGTTTCTACAGCATGAACTGCTTACTTTGGTACAATGTCTCTATATTATCCTGTATGTAATTGCAATCAATAGATGTCGGGCTCTAAAACAGTGCAAGCTGAGACTGCAGTGAAAATAAAAGAGGCAACAAGATCATTTAGGTGACAGTGGTTAGTTTCCTCTACTTTGCAGGCTTTTCTTCAAGTACTTTGAATATGTCCTCCAGGGACTGGTGCACACACTGCACAAACTGCTGTACATCACGTGCTGGGTACGCAGACACATTGCAACCAATCCAGTCATCATGTACTCCATAGCCCACCCCAAATCCATCAGGGACCACTGGAGCAAAGCCCCCCAGCTGCACAGCTGGGGCTTGTTAAGGTGCTTGTAGAGAGGACATTATGGTTGATGCGAGCATATGCTGGGTCCTGGAAGAGCTCAGGAAGGGACATACCTTTGCCAGCTGCCAGGTAACGCAAGGCAAAGAGGTGCCGATCACATCCTTGACCTGGAAGACAAAAGGAGACACAAGAAAAAAAAAGACCCGCGTTACAATCAAAGACACTGCTTTGCCATTCTGCAATGTAGTTTATTCAAACGCTTTAGCAGATGACTCCAGAATGCACACCTCAGCTACACACAGTAGAATAAAATACACCGATTATGAGAGAAATCCTTTTGAAAATGTTCATTGCCTGGTTGTTAAAGTGATTTTAAAAAGCTTGAATTTTTTTTTTTTTACAAAAATAACAAACATGTCTATATTTACCTGCTGTGTACAGTGGTTTGGCACAGAGCAGCCTGGATCCTCCTCTTCTTGGGTCCCCCGCTGGCGCTCTTGGCCCCTCCCTCCTGTCAGGTGCCCCCACAGCAAGCAGCTTACTATGGGGACACCCAAGCATGCAGACTCCGCTGCCGCTGCTCCATGTGTCCATTCACACACTGAGCCATGGCTCAGCTCCACCCCCTCTCTCCAGTGCCTCCTGCTGCAGTCTCAGCCAATGAGGAGAGTGAGTATCGGGTTAGCCTAGACTCCAGTGCACATTACTGAATTGGGAGGGGACATAGATGAATATTATGGGGGCTGGGGGGATGCTGCACAGAGAAGGTTTTTTTTTTACCTTCATACATAGAATGCATGAAGGTAAAAATCCTTGAGCCTTTACAACCACTTAAAGCTGACCTGTTGGCTTCAATATACTCTGAATCATCATGAAGATAAGAACTTGATTCAAAGTCTTAAAAGTGCCTTTCCACCTTTGTGGACAAATTTGAGAAACCCACACAGTGAGTAGAATCTGGTGCAGCTGTGCATGGCAGCCAATCAGCTTCTAACTTCAGCTTGTTCTATTAAGCTTTGGCAATAAAATCTGTAAGCGGATTCATTTCTATGCCCAGCTGCGGCAGATTTTACACTTTTCAGTTTTAATAAATAACCCCCTAATGCAGGGCTCGACAAAACCCAGGCACCAGGTCACCGTGGCAACTAGAAATTGTGTCCTGGCGCCTGGGCTTTAGTTAGCCATCCGCTGTCAGGCACTGGGATGATGCTTCACTGATCCAGGTATTTGAATTCTCCTACCTTTCAGTGTATGGACAAGAGACATTCTAACTGATTAGCGCCATCACATGGATGGCGCTGACCAATCAGAATCCACCTAGCTCGTCCTGTCAGTGCTGGGAGGAGAGAAAGCTGCGGAGATTTCAAATCCCTGTAGAGGTGAATCAGTGTCCTGGTGCCTGACAGCGGGGGATCGTGGACAGCTACTAAGATTTACATGAGTGAGTCATCTCTGAACCAGCATCCCTATCCAGAAAGAAGATGCTGACTCTGCGTATTACATATTTGATCCTTGGCCCACTTTAAGCTTCACATCAACAAAATGTACCGATTGTGCAGTCGTTAAAAAAAAAAAAAAAAAATTAAATATGTTACCTCTAGCCTTTAAAAAAATATGTTTTTACTCTGCATGTTTTAGTTACTGCAGAAGAGGTTTGGAATTGGTAATATAGACCACGGGTGTCAAACTGGCGGCCCTCCAGCTGTTGCCAAACTACAAGTCCCATGAGGCATTGCAAAATTGATAGTTACAAGCGTGACTCCCAAAGGCAGAGGCATGATGGTACTTGTTGTTTCGCAACAGCTGGAGGGCCACCAGTTTGACATCCTTGATATAGACGCTTAAGGCTATTACACATTATTATTGAACGCTGATATTTGTGCATTTTTAGTCCATTTGCATTAGACTCTCATTAGCTCAACATTGCTTGGGAAAAGCATGGGCTATATATACCTCTGAAATTCTGTTAAACAACAATGGCTAAAAATGCATATTAGGTTCTGGTTTCAAACATTTTTATAAATGAGCTCCAGTATTGTTCAACTCACCCATTGCGGCGTCCTTCGTTAGCTGCCCATGATACTTGGAGCATTCATTTAGCATTTCCCTGAGATCAGCTGCATTATGCTTGGAGGAATTCTTCACAAAAGCCTCTGAGCACTTCTTGGTATAAAGGCTAGCTGGTCGGATGGTCTCTGTTCGGCCATGTTTGAAGGCTGCGGTACTGCATGACTCATAAGTGGCAGTTGTTTGCCCGTATTGCCTGAGAAAAGCCATCTGGAATGAGAGCTGAGATATGGCGTCAGGACTGAGCTTCTGAGTTTTCAGGAACTCCTTCCCTCCTCTTTTGAACTCCAGGCTGGCAATGGTCAGTGAACCCACCAGAGCATCAAACTTCTTTTTAGCATCAGTTACTGCAGCTTTCAGAGAGTCATCCAGATGAAATGTAAGTTTTTGTACGGCCTTACTGGAGTCCACAGCAGCAGGAGAGCTCTGAGGAGATACAGCTGGCAGCTCTGTACTGTCCTTGAAAACCTCATTTTGAAACCTTAGAACAGCAACTCCATCTCCCCATGAATGCTCGAAATTGATTGCCGCTGTCCCATCCTTCGTCATGATGATGCTGAAGGACTTGTCATACCAGCGGTTTGAAGCGGAACCATGAAGCATATTATGGGAGAGGTGAATGCGATCTTTAACAGGAAAGTCATCCAGACAGAGACAGAACACAGCTGAATCTACTTTATGCAGAGCCTCTTGATTGCCATTGTCTATCAGCTTCTGCCTTACTATGGCCCATGTGTTCCGATCTTCACTGGGTAAATATCCTAAGGGGAAATTCTGGTGCAGGAGTGTTTTCTGACAAGATGTACTTTAGATGGGCTTGAATCTCTGATGCCTTCACTATGCTTCCATCTTTATCTAGAACATCAAACACATAGAAGTTTCCATTTCGGAGGACCAATAGATGTCTTGCCTGCTGATCGCTCACAAGTTCATCCTTGTTCAGTTTTGGTATGCGGGTGGAGTTAAACAGGCGGAAATACTGAGACATGTCTAGCGGATATGCATTCACCATGTACGCCCCGTACCAGGATAGAGAGGATGGCACAAAGCGGATGAGCTTCCTAAACTTCTGTGTGTCACTTTTGGCTGGATTGAGGTGGAATATCTCTGGCTCCAGGTAACCAGCTCTCATGGTTTTTAGGAAACGCATGGCAGACACGGTCAGGTTTGTGGCCCTGACAAGCTGGTTGTTAAATTCTGGCTTTGGATCAGGAGTGAAGGACATGAAGGGATTAAAATTAAGCACAATCGGGTCTCTAGCACAGAGATACATGTCAAACCATGGACCTGCAAGACAATTAATTAGGTGGTTATTAAGTTTCAAGTCAAGTATTTCTGAAAGAAAACACTACAGGTATTTATTAATGACAACGCCATGATATTATAAAGTAGATAGAGCAAGGGAAGGTTATAACCAGTCAGATCTTTTTATCGCCATGTGTCCCATAGTAGAGATTTCCCTTCACTTCCTGTCCCACAGCCAAACAGGAAGTGACAGGAAATCCTTACAAAATAAGGAAATTCCTTGGGGTCCCCCAGGTCACCAGAATTAGTGTCCCCATTGGAAGATTTCCCCACTATTACTTTTCTGGGGACAACACAAAATTTGGGAGTTTCTTTGACTTTCACTTTTCATGATAATGGTAAGCAGGACAAATAGAGAGTGTGTACCTCCTTAATGGGGTCATAGACAGCAATAAAAAAAAAAAAAAAAAAAAGTTTTCCCTTTAGTTATACTTTAGCCTCTTCACACCGGTCGCACACAAATGTACTGGGCCTAGACGCCGAGTGGCCACACATTTGCGTGTAATTAACAAAAAACATATGTGCTCGCTCCCAGCACACATGTCCGGTACTCACGGAAAGGTCCCGGTCTGCTTTTTCGATCGGGACCTTTCCCGATCATGTGACCGCCATGATGATGCGTCACGGCAGTCACATGATCCCTAAACCCCGCCTCCTGGCTTCTGAAACTCTTAAAGGGCCGGGAGGCGCCGGCGGGAAGGGGTTGAGTAAACTTTTCTTGTACAAAAAAAAATTCCCAAATTAAGATTATTCTCAAAAAGCGCTTTTCAGGCAGACCCGGTCGGACCACCCTTTGTTCTCTATGGGGAGGCGGATGTTCTGTTTCCCATTCATCTAGCGCAGGGGTGTCAAACTCAGTTTTATGGTGGGCCGCATCAGCATTATACACAAGGTGCAGACAAGAGGGGTGCAGGAGAGGTCTGAGGGCCACAAGAAATGGCCTCGAGGGCCGGATTCAACCCTCGGGCCTTGTGTTTGACACCTGTGATCTAGCAGATTAGATCAGATGACAATCAAATATAAACAGGCAGTCCATTTACATCCGACCACCCACTAGAAATCAGCGGGCTGTGTCCGTGTCTGCTCTGCACAAGTGGAGTGGACACAGACCTGTCTGTAGAGCAGGCAGATTCACTTGACAGAGTCAAGACTGCCAATACCCAAACTTGAAGACATTGTGAAAAGATACTTGAATGCCGGAGGATTGACGGAGCCTGAGGCCCCTTTCACAGTGGCATTTCGTTTGTTTCATCCATTCAGTCACGTTTTTCAAAGAAAAAAAAATGGATTCACTTCACATCAGTTTCTACATCCACTACCAATGCAAAAACAGACCATTTGTCCATTTACATCCGTTTTTTTGGTCAGTTTCATCCATAACAAAAATAGGGCTTAACGGATGATCATCTGTATTTCCATAGAGATGCACTGATGTATGTTTTTAATTTGTCAATGGATAGATGAAAAACAGACAAATGGAACACCTGTGTAAAAAGGGCCTAACACCTAGAAGCTGACTGGTTATTATGCAGAGCTGCACCAGAGTTTTAGTACATCTCCCCAAATTTGTACAACATTGGTGCATGTCGTTATCAGCATTGATGATGTTATTTCTATTCCATTTCAATAGGAAAAAAAAAAAAAATAAACAAGCACCAAATTTGGATCTGCCAGGTGCCCTCTTAAACATCTTCTGTGCACCTGCGGACTCCACAGGTCTACTTTAACCTCCCTGGCGGTATGAATATTTTCAGATTTTTGGTGCTGAAAGCGGTACCATTATTTTGCATGGAAATATGTATTTTTTTTATTGTAGGCCTGTAATTTAGGAATAACTCACTGAAATCTGTCCGAACAAGAGTCTAGTAAACATTCCGGATATGATAAAACTTGAAACACAAAATCATAAATTATAATTTAATAAATAATCATAAAAAATAATATTATAATAATAATAAATTTAAATAATGTAATCAAACCAAAAACACTGAAATTTGAAATATAGCTCCAAGTTCGCACATTGCTGAGCAAAGTCGTAGAATCATTTTCAGTGTCTGATGACGAATTTCCCCCACGAATCATTATCACTCAATTCTGCAAGTGGTTCTGATTTACTATCGCTGTTCTCTAGCTGGTCTAAAACCGCTTTTGACATAAAGGGACGCTTTTTGGACGCCATGGACTTTTCTAAGTTTCCAGGCAGAAAGAACAGTCAAAATGCAGGCAGGGCACAGGACAAAGCACTCGGGACAAAATGTATGTGAAATGGGATGAAACAGCAATGTTTTACTATGTAATACTCATTTTTTAAAAAATTTTAAATTTGCCGTCGGTTCCGGCGCCCGTACGTCCCGACGTCACAGGGACCGGAACACGGAAGCCGGATGCATTGGCCGGAGGAGATGGCCGGGGACGCTGCAGGGGACACATCGCGTGAGCGAAGGACAAGGTAAGCGCTGCAGAGACTGAAACTTTACCCCGAGCTACACTCGGGAATACCGCCAGGGAGGTTAAAGGATAATGTGCACAAAAATGTGCATTTATTATTTTTGTCTACAGGAGCCTGGAAAGCACTGCACCAATGATCAGTAGATTGCTGATGCCATGCAGGTCTCCTGCAGACCTGTCAGAATATCTGCTAGCTGTACAGGATGAATGAGCAAGGAGATATTCTGATAGGGCCGTGGTAGTTCATTGAAAACTACAAGCCCACAACCGCTAAGGCTGGCAGGACTTGTAGGCACTCATTCACAGGACTCTGTGACTGAGTGGCAGAGCCATGTGGGTGGAGCCCCGCACAGCCGCGCTGTTTTCAAATCTGACAGATAGTACGGGGAATCTTCACCCTGTACTATCTTGTTGAGGAGATGGGGGGGAGGGGCAATGGGCGCTGCTGCGGCTATGGGAACATGTTACACCCTAAAAACATGAAGTGTTAGCATTCTCCCTCACCCCAGAGGAAAGAGCCAGACAAAAAAATACCTTTGTTCCTAAACACCTACCGGAAATGTAACTGGTATGTTTGTTCTGCTTGTCCTGTTGTACCAGCTCCTCATGCAGCTGCTTACCCACTCCGGTTTGGAAGTTCAGTGCCAGTTGTTCGGTCTTCCTAATAATAAAAGCCATAAACCATAATTCCCAGGTGGTCTGAAAGTTCCCATTTTAAAACCGTATTATGTATCAGCAACAACTTAAAAGGTAACTATCAGGGGCGGACTGACAACTCATGGGGCCCCCGGGCAATAGGGGATCATGGGGCCCCTGTGTCCTTGCCCAAATTTAAAAAAACTTATGAAAAAGGTACCAGGGACATCTCATGGGGCCCCCTACTGACCCCGGGCCCTCGGGCAGTGCCGACTGCTCGAATGGTCAGCCGCCCCTGGTAACTATACTGCTACAATACATTGCCCCTGGTTACAGAAGACAGGTCATCCACTGACGATAAAAAGTTATTATGCAGCTCAATATGGTAGTGGGCTGCCTCAGATCTGTTATCATTTAGTGCCGTGGGTATCTTAAGAGGTATAGGAGGTCTCAACTGTGGTCCCAGAAAAATCCAAAAAGGTCTGCACATAATATTCAGCATATGACACAAGACTGTTAGACTTCAAACAAAATGGAAGAGCTTATCATAGACTGCGGACAAGAAACCGGTGTGATTGAAGATGGAAGGCACATTGAAGGAGTCAGACTGCGGACTGTAAAGGGTTGCACAGCAAGCCCTCATACACACTGGACGTTTTTACAACGGCTGTTTTTGGCATTTGACATTTTTTTCTAAAGTCAAACTCCCCAGCACGTTATCCTATGTGTCCATGCACACATAGGCTGTAATCAGACAGGGATGCTTTTTGGCTGGGAAAAAAAACCAAAACAAGTGCGTTTTTAGAGTTTTCAACTGTAAAAAACGCTCTTAACACTGAAAAATGTGGCCAAATGCAGCAGACCGGTATTTTTTGACATTTTTTTAACCCAAAAATTGGGGGGGGGGGGTAAAAAAACCCGCTAAAAACCACAAACGCGGGAAAACACTGCTAGACAACTCACATTTTTAACGTGACTTTACACAGCTAACGTTACCAGCGTTATCAAAACAGCAAGTGTGCATGAGGACCACGTGTCAAAGGACCGCATGTGGCCCTCGACTGGCAGGCTGAACACGTAGCATTTAGTACTTTGGTGGTAAGGGGGCTGGAAGGATGACTAATAATTCCTCATACCTAAATTGCTCATCGTCTAGAAGAGGCCGTTGTGCGTTCAAGTATCTTTTCACAGTGGCTTCAAGTTTGGGTATTGGCAGTCTGGAAAATATAAAAAAAGGTTTTAAAAATGATTAAAGAAGCTTTATGATAAGAAAAGTATTGGGTAACGCCAATATCAGAGAATGGAAGAATGACTATAGGAGGACATTTATAAATACATTGGACAAACAGAAATTGTTATAATGTTTACACTTTGTATTGTTTGCACGGTTTTGGCGGATTCTTGCGGTTGGGATAACAGGTGTATGTGAACTAGCTGTAGCTGCTCAGCCTGTACAAAGAAATGACAGGCTGAGATATCACTGTTCATATGTATCTGCACACCCACTTATTACCTGCTGTTAGGGACAAATGAGCAAGCCTGGATGCAGACAGATCCCTCCAGTGTCCAATATCTATCCGGAACCAAAAGGTAACACACTGGTTGTGTAGAGAGGAACAAGGTCTTAGCCGGTCATTGCTTTGTACAGTGGCCAAAGCTATTCATAGACACCTGTGATCTGCTGATTCTTGCTGCTGGAATCCACAGGATGCACATAGTCACCTATGTGAAGGAGACCTTAAAGTGGAACTCAATTTTGTTCAGAAAAAAAAACAAAAAAAAAAAACAAACAACATTCCCCTCTGGGTGACTTATGTACATTGCAAATATTTTAACAAACTTTGTTATAGAATCCAACCTTATGTTATTCTGAAGAAAAATCTGTGTGAAAAATGAATGTGAATAGGAGTGATTGTATACATGATCAAATCAGCTGCTGCTGGGTTCTAATGAGGAAAGCAAAGTGAAACAAAAGAGAAAGCGCACCAACCTTTGCGCATTACCTCAGTACACCATAATTTTATTACATTCAGAATGATACTCACAACAACGAAGTAAATCAAGCATGTAAGTCCTCAAAGGAACGTTAGAAATGTGAAGCCTGTTCGAGTCACATCGTAGGGGTAGACACTCAGAGTACGGCTGATGCATTTCGAAGGGAATCCCTTCTTCATCCCTTTGAGGAGTTACATGCTTGATTTACTTCGTTGTTTGTGAGTATCATTCTGAATGTAATAAAATGATGGTTTACTGAGGTAATGCGCAAGGTTGGCGCGTTTTTTTGTTTCACTTTGCAGTACTGGTCGGGCTTCCCCAGCCTTGTTTAGAGCTGCACAACCCTATATGCATTGGTGGTCAAATTTTTCAAGTTCTGGTTCGCTCCATCCACCTTTATTCTGGGTCATAGATCGCAGGAGAGGTCATTTCTGGTTCTGAGGAAAGTGGCAGGGTCTGCATCCCATTAGACGTGATTTCCCTTTGGGAGTATCCCACCAAAAATGAAAATTTTGTTGCAGGGGATGTCCAAAGTTTGACTTCTATCTTAGTGCAGACTTCTGGGAAAATCAGTGAGCCAATCACACAAGCAGGAAATGACACTTTCAGGGGGCGTTCCGTGAACCACCTGTGTACAGAATGCCTCCAGGTTCCCATATTGCATCTTACAGAGAATTACAGTGCAGTGCAGATTGAAAAGAAAGGTCATTTTTAATAACATTCAATTACAATTGCATATGCTAGATTATTTTTTAAAGTTCTATTTTTTCCCCCACAAAAGTGGAGATTCCCTTTAAAGTGAGCCAGTGCCTTGCTACAGACAAAAAATAAACAGACCTACTGGCAGGATCAACAAGCAATAAAACTACCACAGAGAGACTAAAAAAAAAAAAAAATATTTTAATTTCTGCTTTTCTAACGTTTTTCTCATGATTCCACTTTAGCGGTCTTTCTCAGCTGTACAATTCGCTACCCTACTTTAATTCCAACCAAAAGCAAAGAAAAAAAATCCATTTTGAAACCTGGAGTCTATGTAAGGTTGGAACTCTCTCTCCTTGAATCCATGTCACAGCATTAGGCGTCTAAGCAGCCAATCTCCAAGCTTTAGCTGGTTCACGTGGAAAGAAGGGCAGAGAGTCACATGTTCCCCATACCTGAAATAATTGGTATTCCTTGTTGCTCCCAAAACCAGAGAAGTGAGGGAGTGAAAGGAAAGTGAACAGATGTAGCTTGGAGGGCTGCAGGTAAGTGAATCTGCTGCTTTATCCTGAATGCACACACTTTAGGATCACATTAAAATTTGATTACAGCAATGCTCTCTAGTAAAATAAATAAATAAAATGAACTTCATATACACCAGGGTTGACAACTACTGGAAAAATTGGAAAAGGTTGCCTAAACTAAGCTAGGTGTTCCTTGGCTCTTGTGAGGAGATCCATACACCTGACCTGTTAGTGGAGGAGAGGCTTAAAACAATACTCTCCACTCATCCAATGGTCTGACATTCGCAAGGCCCCTGGGGCTGGTATACAGTTAGGTCCATATATATTTGGACACTGGCACACTTTTAGTTTTTTTCAGGTATTTACCAAAACATATTCAGGCTATAGTTATATAATGGATATGGGCTTAAAGTGCACGCTCTCAGGTTTAATTTGAGGGTATGTACATCCAATTGGAGGAAGGGTTTAGGAATTACAGCTCTTAAGAGTAGCCATCCCCCTTTTTCAAGGGACCAAAAGTAACTGGAAAATTGACTCAAACGCGGTTTCATGGCCAGGTGTGGGCTACTCCGTTGTTATTTCTTCATCAATTAAGCAGGTAAAAAGGTCTGGAGTTGATTCTAAGTGTAGTATTTGCATTTGGAATCTATTGCTGTGAACCTACATCATGCGTTCAAAAGGAGCTGTCCATGCAAGTGAAACAGGACATTGTAAAGGTTCAAAAATGAAACAAATCCATCAGAGAGCAGCAACATTAGGAGTGGCCAAATCAACAGTTCGGTACATTCTGAGGAAAGAAGAACACACTGGTGAGCTCAGCAACATAAAAAGGCATGGACGTCCATGGAGCACAACAGTGGTGGATGATCGCAGGATCCTCTCTATGGTAAAGAAAAACCCATTCACAACATCCAGACAAGTGAAGGACACTCTCCAGGAGGTGGACATATCATTGTCAAAGTCTACAATAAAGAGAAGACTTCACAAGAGCAAATACAGAGGGTTTACCACAAGGTGCAGCATAGTGGTTAAGTGGTTAGCACTTCCGCCTGGCAGTACTAGGGTCGCTGGTTTGAATCCCAACCACGGCACCACCTGCCTGGAGTTTGCATGTTCTCCCTGTGTCTGCATTGTTGGTTTCCTCCGGGTACTCCGGTTTCCTCCCACACTCCAAAGACATGTTGGTAGGTGAATTGGTTCCTGTCTAAATTGGCCATAGTATGTGTATGTATGAATGTAAGTTAGAGACCTTCGATTGTACGCCCCTTGAGGGTTAGTGTCATGTACCTGATTGGAGACTGAAATGACGAGGTCAGCCTCACTTGTGTCACTAGCCCTGACCCCACTGGAAGTGGAAAAGAGGGTGTCTAGGGACCAGGGGGACAAGAGCGCCAGTAGATGTTGTTTGCAGCTCTTGCAGCTGGAGACTTTGGAAGACTGATGAACCTCTGATTCAGGCACCGTAGTGATATGCAGAGCTGGTATGGTAGGTTGCCAGGTGTGCACCAGAGCAAGGCAGGAAGCTGGGATGGGAGACAGGAGCAATGTCATAGGAATAGCCAGGGTCATCAACGGGCGGACAGCGATGGTACCAAATCATAAGCAAGCCAAAGTCAGGAGTAGAACCGAAGTTAGGAACAAGTATCAAGCAGGAGAGTAATCAGAGTCAGGTCAGGAACAAGCCGGGTCAGCAACAAGGAAATTACACAGGAACGAGCAGGAAACAGGGAACAGCTGAAGACCAGACAGCACTCAGCACAGGCAGCTTTTAAATAGTCCGTCTGGCACCAATCTTCACTGTGCGTGTGCACGTGCGCGATCGTGCATTTCTTTGCGCATGCACACTTCTATTTGCCAATTGTCTCACCGGGATTCCCTTACAGCTAGGGACTGATGTGAATGTACAATATATATGTAAAGCGCTGTGTAAACTGACGGCGCTATATAAGTACCTGTAATAAATAAAAAATAAATAATGTGGAAACCATTCATAAGCCTGAAGAATAGAAAAGCCAGATTAGACTTTGCCAAAAAACATCTAAAAAAGCCAGACCAGTTCTGGAAAAGCATTCTTTGGACGGATGAAACTAAGATTAGATAAGATCTGTACCAGAATGAGGAGAAGAAAAAAGTGTGAAGAAGGCTTGGAACAGCTCATGATCCAAACCACACAACATCATCTGTAAAACATGGTGGAGGCAGTGTGATGGCATGGGTATGCATGGCTTCCAGTGACACTGGGACATTGGTGTGTATTGATGATGTGACAGAAGACAGTCGGATGAATTCTGCAGTGTTTAGAGATATACTGTCATCCCAGATTCAGCCAAATGCAACAAAGTTGATTGGATGACGCTTCACAGTACAGATGGACAATGATCCAAAACACACTGCAAAAGCAACCCAGGAGCTTTTGAAGGAAAAGAAGTGGAATATTCTGCAATGGCTGAGTCAAATACCTGATCTCACCCCAAGTGAGCATGCATTTCACTTGCTGAAGGCAAACCTAAAGGCAGAAAGACCCACAAACAAAGAACAACTGAAGACAGCTGTAGTTAGAACCTGGCAAAGCATCAGAAAGGAGGAAACCCAATCTTTGGTAATGTCCATGGGTTCCAGACTTCAGGCAGTCATTGCCAGTAAAGGATTCTCAATCATAAATAAAATGTTTGCTTTTAATAATATTTTGTCATTTCAATTGTCCAATTACATTTGACCCCCTGAAAATGGAGGAACTGTGTATAAAAATGGTTGCAGTTCCTAAAATTTGTACTTGATATTGATGTTCAACCCCTTAACCACCTCCCACCCGCCATATAGTCCAAAAATGGGCGCAAGGTGGTTTTCTCGTTCTGATAGGACGTCATATGACGTCCTGCCATTCTCAGCGCGCAGCGTGGCGATCGACGGTGCTCTGTGTCCCTCGGACACCGGGGATCACCGATTACGGAAAGAGCCGAAGATGTCAGCTCGGTCAGGTGATCAGCTGTGTCCAATCACAGCTGATCACATGTAAACAGGGAAATGCCGGTTATCGGCATTTCTCTCCTCTCGAGCTGTCACGCTGACAGCTTGTGAGGAGAGGAGAGCTGGTAATCGGCTTTCCGCGGACGGGACATGTACTGATGATCAGTGTGCTGATGATCAGTGTGGCCCCAGAAGTGCCACCTGTCAGAGTCCATCGGTGCCAGCTGAACAGTGCCACATGCCAGTGCCCATCAGTGCCACATATCAGTGTATACCAGTGCACATCAATGCCACAAATCAGTGCCCATCTAAGCTGCCCTTCAGTGTCACCCATCAAGTCAGTGCCACCCATCAATGCCAATCAGCCACCTATCAGTGCTGTCAGTCAGTGCCACCTAAGTGCTGTCAGTCAGTGCCACCTAACAGTGCCAGTCAGTGCCGCCTAACAGTGCCATATATCAGTGCTGCCTTTCAGTGCCCATCAGTGATGCCTGTCAATGCCCATCAGTGCCACCTACCAGTGCCTCCTCATCAGTGCCCATCAGTGCCACCTATCAGTGTCCATCAGTGCATCTTATCAGTGCCCATCACTACAGCCTCATTAGCGCTCAACAGTGAAGGAGAAAAATCACTTATTTACAAAATTTTATAACAAAAACTAAGAAAAAACTTTGTTTTTTTAATTTCCAGTGGTTTTTGGTTTGTTTAAGAAAAAATAAAAAAACTCAGAGGTGATTAAATACCACCAAAATAAAGCTCTATCTGTCACAAAACAAATGATAAAAATTTCATATGGGTACAGTGTTGCATGACCGCGCAATTGTCATTCAAAGTGTGACAGCGCTGAGAGCTGGAAATTGGCCTGGGCAGGAAGGGGGTATAGGTGCCCTGTAGGCTAGGGGTTAAATTAAAGCTGAAAGTCTGCACTTCAAATTCATTTGGATTGTTTCATTTTAATTTATTCTGGTGGCATACAGAGCCAAAAGTAGGAAAATTGTGTCTGTGTCCAAATATATATGGACCTAACTATGTCGGGGGCTGGGTCTCTGACGGCATGGGATAATACACTGCACAGCAGTTCATTCATCCCGGCACACAGGCACCATGTCGAGAATGTACCCTGAGCTGTGCAATTCAGTTTTCAAAGCAGACTGAACAGGCAGGAGGTTTATTTTGTTGCAGAAGAGACACTACGGGGTTTATTAACTAAAGCTGGTTCACGCAGAATCTCAGACATTGATTGGCTACCATGCACAGCTGCACCAGATTCTAAGTGACCCAGCTTTAGTAAATAAACCCCTACATGTCTTCTACAAAACACCTGACAGGCGCCTGGGAGGGGATAGGTCACCTCCTGATCGCCTCACTTAACAATGAAAAGCCCACACCAATGCGTTGCAACTGCATGCATTGAACCAATTTGTGATGCAGCCCCATTCACTTGAATGGATACTGTTCAGTGACAGTACAACCTGACGAACATGACTGGGGGGGGGGGGGTTATATATTTTGACACGGCCTGTGTACAACCCCAATTGGCTGTCTTTGCAGTTTAAGTGGAACAGTAAATCCACAGCTCAACCATCTATTTTTACTGCCCCCTGTTCACCAGTGTGAATGAGCCCTAAAAGATAACAGATTAGTGTAAACCTTGTGAAAAACAATATGCCTTCGAAATGCTCTTGATCAGTTCAGATCCACTGTACAATGTATACACCCATACTAGGGCTGACAATAACGTGTATGTCATAGAAAATTATTTTTAGTGCCAAAACACTGATACACACTCAGCGATCGTCCATATACACACCTAGGCAGACTTTTCTGAAAGTGCATAGTGGGGACAATGCTTTTCTGCAGATACTCCGAGTCACTGCTTCCTGCACTGTACCCCCGGAGGAGGACGGATGTTGTGGCAGCTGGTGATGCCCCTTTCCACATACATGACTTAGTCAGTAAGCGAGCCATGGCAATTGTCTGTCAACAGAAATCAGGAAACCTGGAGGAGACAAAGAGCATATATTAACATGGAAGAGTGACAGAGAGCATATAATAACATGGAAGAGTGACAGAGAGCATATAATAACATGGAAGAGTGACAGAGAGCATATAATATATATATAACATGGAAGAGTGACAGAGAGCATATAGCAACCTGGAGGAGACAGAGAGAGCATAAAGTGACAGAGAGCTTAAATAACATGGAAGAGTGACAGAGAGCTTATAGCAACCTGGAAGAGTGACAGAGAGCATATAGCAACATGGAGGAGACAGAGAGCATATAGCAACATGGAGGAGACAGAGAGCAGAGAGCATATAGCATATAGCAACATGGAGGAGACAGAGAGCATATAGCAACATGGAGGAGACAGAGAGCATATAGCAACATGGAGGAGACAGAGAGCATATAATAACATGGAGGAGTGACAGAAGATCAGAGTACCCATAGCTGATAACAGCAGAGCAGAGTACAGCAATGAGAAGGTTAATCAGTGACACGGATGAATTTTTTCTGTTCTAGACACTCACACTGCATACTGTATATCCCTCCCTCCTGTCTCCTATGACAGCCATATTTCCATTTGATTTAAAACATGTCTAAACCCAGTAATAGATAAGAGCTAGCTCTGATGAAGAAGGCACAGCCTTCGAAACGCGTCAGCTTTACTGACTGTCTACCCCCATGATGGGGATTCGCGTCGGCTCCCTATCTCTGAAGTCCCCCAGAGGACTTACATGCCTGTTTTTATTCCCTGTTTGTGAGTACCATTCTTTTATCAATAAATTTTTGGTTACTGAGGTAATGCGCAAGGTTGGTGCGCTTCTCGTTTTTTGTTTCACTTTGCAGTATTGGTCGGGCTTCCCCAGCCTTGTTTGGAGCTGCACAACCTTTTATACACTGGTGGTCGTTCTTCTGATTTTGGTTCCATCCACTTGCCACCAGCCTGGGTCCTGGAGCGCAGGAGAAATCGCATTTGGTCTATTATCCAAGAAAGAATCCAGGACTTTTTTAAAGCAATCCACTGAGCTGGCCAGAACCAACTCTTGAGGGAGTCTATTCCATATTTTCACAGCTCTCACTATGAAGAAACCTTTCCATGTTTGGAGATTAAATTTATTTTCCTCCAGACATAAAGAGTGCCCCCCTGTCCTCTGTGATGACCTCAGGATGAATAGCTCTACACCGAGTTCACTATATGTTGTACCCCTATGTATTATACATGGAATCATATCCCCCCTTACATGGTGATCATATCCCCCTTATGTATTATACATGGAGATCATATCCCCCCCTTATGTATTATACATGGTGATCATATCCCCCCTTATGTATTATACATGGAGATCATATCCCCCCTTATGTATTATTATACATGGAGATCATATCCCCCCTTATGTATTATACATGGAGATCATATCCCCCCTATATACATGGAGATCATATCCCCCTTATGTATTATACATGGGAGATCATATCCCCCCTTATGTATTATACATTATACATGGAGATCATATCCCCCCTTATGTATTATACATGGAGATCATATCCCCCCTTATGTATTATACATGGAGATTATACATGGATCCCCCCTTATGTATTATACATGGAGATCATATCCCCCCTTATGTATCATATACATGGAGATCATATCCCCCCTTATTATCCCCCCCCTTATGTATTATACATGGAGATCATATCCCCCCTTATGTATTATACATGGAGATCATATCCCCCCTTAATCTCCCCCCCTAATCTTCTTCTATCACACTTCCTATCAGAGTAACTGTGTCTGTGAGGAGCCGTGTTGTCACCCTAGAATAGGAATATATGTTGAAACTACAGAACACTTCTCCTCTCCTCATCTCCAGAACATAGGGGGGAGATGAGATTCCTTAGAGAAAACTGGAAACAATGCCATCTGATGACAGCAGAGGCAGACGGTATTGGTTCACTGGATTTCTGACAGGTTCAACTGGTATGTTTTGCATTTGTCAGGCAGATATAACAAAACCCTTTCATTTATATATTTAAAGGGGAAGTGTGGGATATATATAAAAAAACAAACAAACAAAAAAAAAAACCACACATACACCTGGGTGGATGCAGTCTTTCCTCCACTGCCTCAAAAACTGAGAAATCAGTGAGCAAAGACCACGGAATTGTTCAATACTCAGCCTTCAGTTAGCAGGAAGCAGGTGACTGAATCATTTGCTCTGCCCCTTCAGTAGCAGGCTGTAGAGGGGGGGTTGGCGGTAACCGTCTCAGGTTCTCAGAGACTCGCTAAGCCAGCTGCTGGTCAGGCATCTGGGTGGATCCTGACATTAAAGTCAGGATCTTTCCAGAACCTGGACCGGCTCTGTGACATCAGCTGACAGTGTGCTTTAGCTGAATACGGGTCACAGGGGTGCAGAAGGAAGTGTACTCCTGTGATCCCCAGGAGAAGTACAGGCAAAAGAGCTTTGGCCCTACTTCTCCATCATCGGACCAGAAGGGTGTAAATCTGAGTTCACTATTAGAGTGTCCATACACTTTAAGTCACGTATTGTATGTGGACACCATATTACAATGAAAACATTTTATTATCACTGCAGAACATGTGCTGCTGAATTGCAGGGACAGTCGCTGGTTTTGGAGGAAGTTTTTGCTCTCTGGGAATGTCTTCTTATCTGAATTCACCAAAAGAAACATGGCAACCCCTTTGACTAATCGGTCCAACTGTTTTCTTTTTTTTTTTTTAGTTATTGCTGGACAACATTCTGCTGCATTTCAGGTATGGCAATGTGGGAGTCACTTTGGGTGGGGGGCCCCCTGTCTTAGCTCCCCATATCCCTATTATGTGTAAGTCACCCTGTGCCTGTTAGAGGTATAGGGTGATCTGTTTTAATATTGGGGTGGGGGGTTTAATGTAATGTGGTTGCATCCCATTGTTCTATTGTGTGTCTTGCTTGGGAGCAAACTATTATGGGGTGTTTATGTGTATTAGCTTAGTGGGGGGTGTCTCCAGCAGCCCTCCCTCCTGATGGGACTGTCTGCTGGTGTGAAGTTTGAATACCTGTGTGTCTCTTGTTGCTAAGTATAGATTGCCCCGCCCTGTGTCATTATGCAGGGAGGGGGGCGTGTCCCCTGAGTGTATAAAAAGCCAGTTCGAGTTTCAAATAAAGAGTTCCATGTTCAGGCAGATTGGTGTCATCTAGTCTTGTATGATCGGCTGTGGTGTCTGTGGTCGGTGTTCGGACGGGGAAGCGGTATTTTAACGGAAGTACCCAAGTGCAGTCTGGGTCAGTTCCGTTACACAATGTTTCTATAGTTACATTGATTCTGCTTGGACCAATGTAAGTACATATGTGCCATACCTGTGGAATCCATCTAGGAGCTGGCAATCACTGCAGTAGGCACTGCTACTCTAATGATTGCCCCTAGCATCTGGCTTTCATGCTGAGTGGCTGCCTTGCTGCTTATTGAGCACAGGAGGTTGAGAACTCTGATTGGCCAAAGTGGAGATTGTGACATCACCTTACACCTTGTCCGATTAGAGAACCTTTTGCATTCATTTAGAAAATGCAAAGTGTTCCCAGAACGGGAATGAGCGATCTTCGGTATTTAATAAGCAGCAAGGCAGCTGCTCACACAGGACCTGGAAGCTGGTGGAGATCACTGGAGTAGCAGTGCCCACAGGGATCCCACAGGTATGGCACAGACATACTGACATCAGTCCAAGCTTGATCCACGTAACCATGTCCAAAATTAGCCATACATGGAATCCAGCTTTATAATGGTTTTAATGGCAGATGTTTGTTACCCTATGTATGAAGTAAAAAAACCTTCCACTCTTTGTGCCCCCCAGACACGACCCTCGATCCAGCGCTGTCCCCGCTGGAAGCCCTACTCTGCTCTCTATTCCTGCATTCACAGGCTTAGCTGAGAGCAGCAAAAGCCAATGAGGAGAGAGGGGGGGGAAGGTACACTGAGTGACTCTGTGTGTGTTAATGGACATACACAGCCCAGCTTGGGATCAAGGTTGCATAAGTGCCCCCATTACAAGTGGCTTGCTATGGGGACACTCAAGAGAAAAAAGTTAGAGCCAGAGCAGAGGACCAGGATAGGACATTTGGCACCGTTCTATGCAATACCATTTCACAAAGCAGGGGAGTATAATGTGTTTGTTATTTTACTTTAAAAAATTAACATTTCAATCACTTTAAAGTGTTACTAAACCCAGGACCCTGCATTCACTATATCCGGTCTCCTCGGACCCTGCATTCACTATATCCGGTCTCCCCGGACCCTGCATTCACTATATCTGGTCTCCCCGGACCCTGCATTCACTATATCCGGTCCCCCCGGACCCTGCATTCACTATATCCGGTCTCCCCGGACCCTGCATTCACTATATCCGGTCTCCCCGGACCCTGCATTCACTATATCCGGTCTCCCCGGACCCTGCATTCACTATATCCGGTCTCCCAGGACCCCGCATTCTCTATATCCGGTCTCCCCGGACCCCGCATTCACTATATCCGGTCTCCCCGGACCCCGCATTCACTATATCCGGTCTCCCCGGACCCCGCATTCACTATATCCGGTCTCCCCGGACCCTGCATTCACTATATCCGGTCTCCCCGGACCCTGCATTCACTATATCCGGTCTCCCCAGACCCTGCATTCACTATATCCGGTCTCCCAGGACCCCGCATTCTCTATATCCGGTCTCCCCGGACCCCGCATTCTCTATATCCGGTCTCCCCGGACCCCGCATTCACTATATCCGGTCTCCCCGGACCCCGCATTCACTATATCCGATCTCCCCGGACCCCGCATTCACTATATCCGGTCTCCCCGGACCCCGCATTCACTATATCCGGTCTCCCCGGACCCCGCATTCACTATATCCGGTCTCCCCGGACCCTGCATTCACTATATCCGGTCTCCCAGGACCCCACATTCACTATATCCGGTCTCCCAGGAC